ATCCAAGGCGTACCAGCTGTGGTGAAAAACGCCATACGTACATACCTGTCTCTTATACACATCTAGATGTGTATAAGAGACAGTTGTTATACTATTTTTATTTTATTTTTGATTTTCTTTATTTTTTGCAGTTTTTTAATATTTAATATTGTTAAAAATACATTAATTTAATATTTTTTTGAATATTTTTTCATTTTCTATATTTTTGTTTTCAAGTTTTATAATCTTTATTTTTCGTAATTCGTGTAATTTTCTCTTGTAATATGTGTTACGAAAAATGTAAATTTAAAAATTGACTAATTTTCGCAAAGGCCCGTTTTCTTTAATTTACTTTTTTATTTCTAAACACAAATCTGAATTTAAAAGTAGTATGTGAAAATAGTATTGTGAAAATTGTTATTTTAATAATTTCATTAACAAAAACAAAAAAAAAAACTTAAAACTGAAAACTCAGACAATTTTAGCGCACCCTAATAACCAAAAGGCATTGAAAACTTGTGTGTGTGTTTTTTTTTTTTTAATATTAACTCATTTCTTAAAAACAGCGAAAATTCAAACATATTAGATCAATAAAATGTGGAATCTACATATATTTACAATATTTCAAAATCAATGAAAATGCCAATTTAAACTTTGCAATTACGAATCTGTGCTAAAAAATGTTTATTACAATTCTCTTTAATATTGAAATTAAAAATTCAACATAATATGATTTTTAGTTAATTTGCATACATTAAACATTTGAAATTACCAGTTTCACCAATAAACAAAAGTTCTTATGTGTTTAAAAGGAAAACCAAACCTATTTTGTATTCTACAACTTTATAATTAATGATTTTTTTTTAGGAAAGCAAATGTAGAATTGAAAAAGAATGATGATTACTTTTATAATTGCTAATGAATGCAAATATTGTTGGAAACAATTAAAAATACACACGCATCTACACATTTAATAATATACTTATACAATACATATAATTTGTAACTAAATCTTAATAAATCATAAAGTTATTAATTAATATTATACTTACGAGCAAAAATAAAAAATAAGAAAAAATATATATTATTGTAACACAATTAAAACATAACATGCTGATAAAGTACATAAAAGTAAATCAAGCATTCGTTAAATCGATCTTGAAATATATGAATAAAAGTTATACATATACATATACACATACATTTATAGAATGGAAAATAATAACAATACTTAAAATCGCTATATCGATTGAAGGAAAAATGAGAAAAAAAAAAACTAAATATTACTTACAATAATTGCAGGAGTCAGTATATAATAACAAAAAAAATGAGAAATTTCTGCACATATGTATGTAGCATACGCAGCGTAACGCTGCTGGCATAAGTCTTGTGTGTTTTATCTTTTCGGATGGTGTTTATAATGGATCCCCCTCGTCGAWTGGCGATTACTTCTTTGAAAATGTGCTGCTCTGTGCAATTAATAATAAATATTACCATTCAAATGAAAATAAATAAATAAATGGCATACAATAAAGTATAAAAAGATACGCATTAATAAATACAAAAAATATATTGAAAGTGTTGTTTGTGTAGATATTTTAATGGACTGTAAGTAAGTGATAATAAACATTTTGAAGATGTTTAATTAGAGGTTAAAGCAATAAGTTTTAAGACATTACTGCATAATAAGTAATTTAATATCAAATATATAATAACAGGTTCCCTGTCTAATGTAGCACATGTGATACAAAATTATTTTCCTGTACCATSTGTACAGCGTCCATGTATCATATATGAACAGATTTTTGGTTGATTTGAAATAAGTTTATWAAATGTATCACTGATGGTACATTGAGCGTATGCAATTCAACTTCGTAGTGACTCCTTCGTGTATCATAGCTGATAAAAATTTTTTGTTACCGTTATATCGCTGTCAAAATGTKTGGGATAGTYCAAAAATTCATCGATAACCTCTAAAAACGCCTACAGCAATTTTTGTATGGGGACAGGGAACCTGATAATAACGGATTTTGTTATGTTAACATCACTGACATATCCTCCAGTTTCCCACCATATTATTTGCAGTTTGATTTTCAGTGATGTTGGCAGTCCTGCATCAAAAATATTATTTGACAGCTCTTCCAGCTGTTTARAGATGTTAATTGCAAGTTGTTTGTTGTACATATAATTTTAAGCAGAATTCAAGTTTGGCAGCTATTATTAGTAAAAAATCGCGAAAAAATAATTATTGCCAATTCGAAAGACATAGAGTATAAACAATTTGTGCCTTGTTTAATTTAATATTTACTATGTACAATTTATGACCTCATAGCGATATATACATATAAAAAAAAAATTCTAACAACAAAACGTGAAATCACAAATTTTTAAGGATACGCCTACACCACCATTAACAATCCAGCAGTTTTATTATGAATGTACGCGGCAATAGTGAGAATTGTGTGGAGGAGCCAGTGGCGCCAGAATGGCTTTCTAAATTGGAGAGTCGACGTGAAAATTTACAACGCGCCACCAAGCTGAGTCACGAAGTCGGCGCTGGTGCACCCTGCGGTGAATGCGGTGACAAGTGTCCTGGCTTGGATTTACATTTTTGGCGTAAAGTATGTCGCAATTGTAAGTGTCGCAAAGATCAACACAAATGTGTGGATGACGATTTATCATCGTGGGCACAGTTTGAGATTTTGGGACAAATATGTTCAAAACCAGCTTGTAAGTATGCAAACACGTTTACTTTATTCTTTTACACATTTTTTTTTTGTGCTGGCATGTAAAKTTAAAGATGTATTTTATTTCTAAAAACGCTCATGACTTTTTTATTACCACTGTAGCGCCTAAGATGATTATATTTTAATATTTATACATCCCATTGATACCTTGCACACAATGTCAATGATGATCTCATAATTATTTTCTATTTCCCACACAGTCATTAAAATTAAAGCGCTCGCCAGTCAACCCGTTCAAGTCGACTGGGTGCCACCGAACACAATGCCAGATGTTGTTTCCGACTATATGGAGAAATTGGGCGCCGCCAAGGTGCCAATTGCGGGCAGTGATGCGGCACAAAAGCGTAAACAACAATTAGAATTCCAAGTACCGCCACATGATTTGAACGCCGCACTGTGCGACAATCTAACCGATGCCGAAGCCGCCCAACTACAACAATATGTTGTAAAGATACGTGAGAATTGCGTTGGGCAGGGTGTTGTCGTACGCATTGGCAACATGGGTATTGGTTTTGTTGAGTATATAACACCACAACAACAACATGACCAACAGCATATGCTAACCGGTATTGACGCTTACAATATGCCAATGCATATGCAACAAATACCATTTAATGCTGCCTTAATTAACGATACAAATGATTTATCCTTTCACTCCCCGTTACCGGTCAAAAATGCTGCAAATGTGCGTTTTAGTGCACAAATGCGTCAAGAAACACCAGCACGCAAGCTGAAATTCGGCACCTTATGTAATTTGGCAAATAATTGTGGCCTGCCGGTAAATGTCGATTATGAGCGTGATACCGTATTTGCACAAATCCTACATGCCGAACCGCTCAAGCAGGCTTTAGAGAACAAAAGTATGGGTTTACCCAYAAGTCAAGGCGTTATCATTTCACAAGCACAAATGTTGCCAGATTTTATGAATGCCTCCATTTTGGGTCCAGCTACAAAACAGAAGCTCAAAGATATTGGTGTGAATGTTAAAGCCGTGCAAAGTGCCTTATTGAACAGTCCATTTTATGATGCACTCTACGATACACTCAAACAAAACGATATCAAATTTGATGAATGTCGCGTTTTGGCACCCATACAATCGCTACGAGAAGAATTGCTAGTAAACAAACCAGTAGCAGAAGAGTTGAGCGCTTTTGTAACGCAATTGCCAAACAGCGCGGCCATAATGTACACAAGTCCTTCGGAGAATGGCTTGGGCAAATGCGGACTTAGTGGTTCCAGTAGCAACGATTCTGGTTTTGGTTCGAAAGCCTCAACACCGGTGGGTGGCGCTGACTTGCTGACTGGTGCTGGCTTGCCAAGTGCCTTCCAACAAATGCGGCTGACAAATAAAGGTTTTATTTATTGTTTACAAAAATTTTACTATTATAATATAATGATAAAACACATAGTTATGTAATGTCATATAATTTCAGAACCACTACCACCAGCGCCAATGGTGAATTGCCGTGACTGCGCCAAACCTATACCATTAGGGGAAGTAGCTGTGAAAGCCGAACGCGCTGGCAAGGAAATAGCCTGGCACCCGGAATGTTTCAAATGTTACACGTGCCGTGAATTATTAGCGGATCTGGTGTATTTCTTT